ATAAGAAAGTGGGCAGTTATAAAGCAATCAAGCAGTTTCCAAGCGGTTTGTCATGAAAAAATCATCATGGGAATATAAAAAGAAAGAGAAGACATAGAGAAAAGAACCCCGAATCAAACACTTTCAAACAGAGAATATGTAATTTCAATTTCTTAGATTAACTTTAATTATCAATTTTCAGTAGTAATGTGCTTCCGCCCCTTGGAGGCATTCTGTTTATTTCCAATTGTAACTCTCATCAATAAAGCATCAATTTTTGGGACTTTGTTTCAAGAGGTCTGTCCCTTATACAATCGTCTGAATTCGTTTTAATTGTTAGCGACTACCTGCGCGAAACACCTACCTAGTACTGATATTTTGCATTTCAACCCTTGGTAGAAGCGCCTTAAATGCTCCACTGACATATAGGTAGGTAGTAGGCTACAACTGAATGTGCCTTCGAACGCATGTCCTAACCCGATAGAGTGATAATGAGGCTCATCTTTGGGCAAGGTGTAGGACTAAGCTTAGGGGGAGTACATACCACTTGACTACTAGTTGACCTCCATGCCTTGATTGAACTCATCGAGTATAAAAACCATTCAGCTCAACTCTTACTAAACTTCTACAGACGTTGTAGAGATTGTAATGTCAAGGAATACCACTTCCTATATTTTTTTCCCCATATTTTCAAAAATGCATAATGAGACGTGTCCCTCTTAGACTTAGGGCTGTCAGTGGGTCGGTTCGGTTCGGTTCTGAAGAGAACCGAACTGACCGGACCCAAAATTTTCAGGTATTTAATAAATGGAACCGTCGGGTTCAAATATAATTATGGAACCGTTCGGATTCGGTTCGGGTCGGTTCGGTTCCATACCATAATTAAATTTTTTAATATTTACATCAACACTACATAAATACAATTTATGGCATGTTCATTCGTAACTTTTACAAATTAACGTAACTCAATTTAAAAATATATAAATAACAAGTTGTCCAATAAGANTTGCCGCAACACTACATAAAGTATATTCATTTGCTTTAAATTAAAATGAGCTAATGGGCTTTAAAAATGATTTGGGTTTTAAAATTAAAATTATGAAATAATTTGATTTATTTAATTAATTTGCTAATTTGTTTAGAAAAAAATAAAATAATTTAATTAATTCAATATAAAAAATAAAAAAAATTATTTAGTTTCGATTCTTTGGTTCTTGGTCTAGACCCGAGATCCGACCCAAATCCGTCGGTTCTCCATTCGAGTACCCGTTCGGGTATTTAATTTATGAAGATCACTCGGTTCGGTTCGATTCGGTTCGGGTTCGATTCGGTCCGGTTCGATTCGGGACTTTTGGACACCTCTACTTAGACTGCATAAAACATGAGCAAGGATGAAGCCTATAAATAAGGGCTTGGGACCTTAGATCTTTCCAACATATTCATATTTCATACACAATTTATTTCCTTCATATCTAGGACTTGAATGTTGGAGTGGCAATAGAGATGGCACCTACAATGACGAATGATGCTAAGGTTAGTGATGTCATTATCGAATGAAATGGATGCTAGTTGTGAAGGACATCAATTGGCATAATGTTGGAAGTATTGTCAGTTGTGGTATGTAATATTGGTGATTCTCAAGTGTTTGGCGATGTTGGGGGTAGACGACAATGATGGTGCGCATTAGTGGGATGGGGTTTGAGTTATCCTAAAGACGATACTTTGAGTTTTCTTTTCTTCTTTGTTTTTTATACATTATCCAGACTAGGGATGCAATGGTCCTTTTGGGATGACAAAATTACCTCCCTCCTTGTGCCGTGCTCTAGGTTGGCCCACACATATCCCAACTAGTGTTGTTTAATATGGCTTTTATTTTATCCACATTCTCTGAAAGTTCATTTATTTTAGAATATTTTTTTCCAATTGCACATTCACCCAATAAAAATGATTTTGCACGTAAATTCATAATATTTTATTACCTTTAAGCACAAATTTTTTCTTTAAAAAAAAAAAAACTATTATTAAACTCATTTTTCATAAAAGGGGCTCAAACGTAGTCATACTTGTTTAAGAATTTAAATCGTATATAAAAGATAATAAAATATTAACTAATTAATCTCCCATTCCATTGAACTAAAAATATTGACAAAAATTTAAATTAAAATCAATAATTAATTTTAATCGTACATTTCATAGAATTTATAACTTTTATCAACTTTTCACGCACATTTAATTTACTTTTATTAAAATTTATTAAGCACCTGTTTGGTACACATTAAAATTTTCATTCTCATTCTTCTACTTATTTTCAACCACACTTTTTTCAATAAAATAATATTTTTCATCACATCAATAACTTTTTATTCTTTTTCAACCACAAATTCTCCATCAATGTACTATTTCAGAATACATTCTTCCAAAATAATGTGGCTCAAATACACCCTAAAAATCTTCCTTTTGACAAAAGCAAACAGAGTAGTATTTGGCCCTCATTTTTTCAAAAACTCATTTTTGTCAAAATTTATTTTCAACAACAAATTCTCTTATAAAATAATATTACACATAAACCTAAACTTTTTCTTTTTTTAACCATACAATTTCAAACAAAATATATTCTAATTCAAGCAAGGGTTAAATTAATAATGGAAAAAAAAAATCATAAATTAGGTATTAAATATACACCGAATCAATTTCCAAATATTAATTTTAAAAATGCAAAAATCAGGTGTTAATCCAATTTTTTAATTTTAAATAATCATATTATCAAATTAAACTAATCTACCCACCCCCATTAAACTATCCCCCCCATACCACAACCATCCTTGCGCACCCGTCCGTCGCCATCCCCTCTTACAGTTGTCAGCATCTACCCGTCGACATTCACTCCATCGACGACTTCTTCAGCAGCGTACTAATTGTCGCTCAGCCACTCCAATCTCTCTCTACAGACTCATTCCGACGAGAATTGATCGATTATCTAAATGAACTTCAATTAACAAAATTTTTTGACTTTGCGATTTAAACAAAATGTAAATTGTTACTTGTGATGTTGATCCAATGACATGTGAATAATTCTCTTGAATTTGTGACATTTGGACATTGATTTATTACATTTTATATTAATCCAATGGCATGTGGCCAATACTCCTGAATCTGTGATCTATAGACATTGATCCGTTACCTATGTTAAATGACACATGACATGTTACCTATGAACTGTAACATGATAACTATGACATATTATCAATGTACAAAGACACGTGTAGTGGTGGCAAAAAGCTCGGCGGCTCCGGCTCGGGCTCAGGCCGGCCCGTGTGGTGATTAATTAAAAAAATAATAAAAAATAATAAATTTTTTTACAAAAGCTAAAATGGTTGAAAAATAAATAAAAAAATCGAGCCGGCTCGGCTGGCCTGCTAAGGCTCGGGCCAAAGCTCAGACCGAGCCTTATTTTTTTTGCTCCGGCTTGGCTCGGCCCGGCCCCGAAAAAAGCTCGGCCAAACAAGCTCGAGCCGTGCCCGAGCTTTTTTTTTTTGGCTCGGCTCGTTGACATAGCTAGACACATGACAATCTGATTTGTGACCATTTTATATTGATTAGTGACATGTTGACATTAATATGTGTCCAATAAAGTGTAGCTTGTGAACATTAATCAGTAATTTGTGATCAATTTTAATTAATCTTTGACTTGTGAACATTGATCAATGACCAATTTTAATTGATTTGTGGCCTACGAATATTGATGCGTGACCAATTTTAATTGATTTGTGATGTATGGGCATTACCCTATATCCTACGCATGCGTAACCGGTGAACAAATTGTGAGCCTCTCTACCACTAACAACCACATCCGCCACCAACGACCACATCCACCACCAACACTCCACCACAACCATCCCTATTGGACAACCACCACCACTAACCAGCAGAATTTGCAAATTGCAAACATGCAAACCACCAATAATCAAACCAACTCTCCAACTACCAAAATAATAAAAAAACCAAGCAAACCACCAAAATAATACCTAGATAAATAGATACACCACAAAAACAAAGCAAAACACCACAAACGTGATGATCTAAGGGCCACCCATAAGATCTATTATTCACTAGTGAGTATGTGAATACCCTTAAATTGACTATACATACAAATGTGTTAATTTGTGGGCGATGCTGACGCTGGGCAAACTGAAAATATGGGCGGCGATTTGGGCGAACCGAGTGGTGGTGCTTATCTTTACTTTAGTGGCGCCATGAAAATAATTAAAGATCACTGCTGCAGCGACATGATCTTAGCATCGATTCGCTGCTGTGTGGCGCTTAGATCGCGCAGCACATAGCGACTGGTTCATCTCTGCACCCGGCGATTGGATTTGAGTGCCGCGCACAACAACGATTCACTTCGTACGGAGGACATTCTCTTTCTGGCCAATTCTTTTGCTCATCGGAGCATCGATGACGGGAAGTTAAATAGAAGAAAAAAAGAATGGAGAGGATAGAGATGAAGCGCTAGTTTGGGTTATTTTCTCATTAAAATGAAAAATATAAAAAAATCTAATGGTGCAGTGTGGTAAATTAAGTCACGTTTGATCTACATTATTATCTCATTATAATAAAAAATATAACCGTTATCCATCACATCAATATTTAAATTCAAATTTTCTATCCTTTATGTGGGCCCCAATAACAGTTATATTTTTCATTCTCATTCTATAAAAAGGTGGCTCAAACAAGGCCGGAGAAAACGAAAATGGTTTGAAGTGACAGTGGGAGTAGGGTGGATAGATTGATTAATTTATTTTTATAATATTGTTATTTAAAATTTAAAAAAATAATTCATCACCTTATTTATGTATTAATAAATTCTATCCATTGTTTGATTTTTAGGCCCTGTTTGGTACACATTATTTTTTTCATTCTCATTCTTTTACTCATTTTCAACCACACATTTTTCAATAAAATAATATTTTCCATCACATCAATAACTTCTCCTTCATTTTTAACCACACATTTTCCATTAATTAATGAGTTACATCATCTGTCTTCAGGAGCGAGCTCTTCTTATTTTCGATCTTATTTGATTAATTGAAAAAAAAAAAAAAAAAGATACAAAGTATAAGTACAAGAAATATACATCTAGAGAAATCACTTTCTTAAAATATGAACAGATTCTTCTTTGTATGTCATACAAACAGAATACCTTCACGTTGAATGAAGAAGGTTTCAATACAGATTTGATTCCATGGGAAACAGTCAAATCATTTGTAGTTGCTTTTCTCTGGCAGACACAAGCATGCAACAAGACACAAATCGTGTGAGTATTCTAGAAGCAATAACAATAATATTCCCGATGTAGCATTGTTAAAACTTAATTTAAATTGTCGAAAACGATACTCGGACCAGTTCTGGAGTAGAGTGGTACTTATTGTTCTCAAGTACAAGAGAATCTGTGCTGTGACTAGAAAGAATAACATACCAATTCAATTTGGCTTGCAATGCGATGCTCAAACTCCTCAACAACCTTACTTAGTACAGACTCTACAAGCTGTAACAAGCAGAAGTCGCGGTTCAGAATCAAATGCACTAGACAAAATCATTAATTACTGCTAAAAGTAGAAGTTTCAAAGTATTAACGTTGAAATATATGCACTAGCACTCACAATGGAAAAAGAGTTATTTTTGAAGTCCTTACGTAAAAGCACTGCTATTGCGTATTGGAAGTATAGACAAATTTTAGGATTTTAATACATTTTGATTACTATGCTTGGTGAAGGATCACAGTGCTGGCACATATTTATTTTGATTTGCAACTCATAAATTGGTATTGGGCATTTGGGCTTATCCACACTTACATTTGGAACTTCTTCGGGCTTCTTATCTAACAAAATTGCACGAACAAGAGTACTTAATGAAGAAGTAGACTGCAAAAAAGAAGGCAAATAATCCAATGTATGAATCTATGGTCCAAGGGTGACGAAGAGAGAATATTCTACATCAGTCAGTACAGTATACTTACCATTCTGTTAGATTCCAAATCAGGGCATACACCATTCAAAGATTTCTCGTTTGTTGACATAGTCCTTGACAGAGAACTAGTGAATGGCTCAGAATTCTTGCGAACAAATTGTTTTCCAGATGCAGTGGTTTTCACATTTCCACCAAATTTCCAGACCCCATTACCTCCTGCTTGTTTATACTCACAGTAGGATTTTAGTGCCAACACGGAATTTATGATCCTTGAAGATTTCCCTCCCTGAAAAATTTTCAATGTTCATGAAAATATTATCTGGCACAGTTCCACAATGAGGCAGCGTTAACAATACAATTCCCAAGCATAAAATTGGTGTGTAATTCAGTAAACATGCATTTTGACTCCTAGTTTATAGATTGCAATGAACTACATAAAGAATCCGTGCATTATTTTTATTTTTTTTTCTCCCAACAGCTACACTTACTTGTTCGAGATCAGAGGCCTCAAATGTAGGAATTCCCAACTCTTGTATGGCTACAAGAAAATTTCTCACATTCTCAAAGTATTGATATGCAGATAATGCAGCACCATCAGGTATAAGAGCAGTGTCACAGGGACTTTCAACGACCTGAGATAGATTGATCCAGATCAATCGAGATTAAAGAGTAAAGAACAAATTCTACTAAAATAGCCAATGTTTAAGGGAGAGAAAAGAACAACTGGATTGACCTTTTGTACAGCTCCAGGCTGAATTTTGTTTACTACATTACATAGGATAATCCCGCTTCTCAAACCAAGCCGAAATTCTTCCTCGGAAGGTTCAGCAGGTAAGTCTTTTGCGCCTACAACTCCTATAATTTTTCTCAACCACGCTGCAGCTTCATATCTTCTCATGGCTACAAAATCAGAAATAGACTCATTGCTCAACTTTTATTCTAAGAGTCCAAAAAATAAAATAAAAATACTCAGAAGATTATCGAAAGTTGTAAATTTTGAATCATTTTAGAAATGCCCCTTTGAGAAAAGCCAATATATCAATTCCAATTGAACTTGATCAGACGATGAAAGGTCAGATTAATCATAAACTCAACCCACACACCATCTGATAGATTAAAAAAATGATTGAATTACAGATTTAAAATCAGAAAAGAGGAGGAAAAATGTTAATTCGAATTCCATCTTCCAACCACCAATAAAATTGATATAGAGCATTGTGCCGAATCAAATTGTTTCAATCATCAAATCCCAAAACCGACTAAATTAGCAGCCATTTATCAGAAAATGAATTTAATTCGTAAAAAAATAACTAAAAATGAAGTTTAGAACAAAAATTTTAAAATTCAAACAAGAACTATAAAATCAGCCGGAAAAGGGTGATTATTTTACCGGCCTCCTCAGCTTTTCGAGCGTCCAAATCGAGATGTCGGGAACCATTTCCGTGCTGTTGCAGAACATCCTCCACTACTGACGCCGCAGAAAATGAAAAGGCGCCTTCCACTGCCGCCATGGCGATCACTAAATAATTATCTTAAAATCGGATTTTAACCCTCCACCGTTCACGAAAATTCGCCGTATAAAACAAAACAACTACAAAAACATCATATATATGCCTATCAAAAAGAACCCTCTGAGGTTTTAAGAACCTAAAACCAGAGGGACCTTAGGGTTTGAAGATCAGTTCTGACAGAAATAACAACAATAGATATACATATAGTCATATAGATACACAGAGAATACACCCTTTTTCTCTCTCTTCAACACTACAGTTCAGCATTGGCCATGCTCATTGAAATCTTCTTCACTTTTCTCTCTCTATCACACTACTTCTCGGTGCAAAAGAAAAGTTTCTTCTATGCTTACTACTGCTGCTGAGTAATATAAGTGGAGGCTACTTTTTGAATCTCTCTCTGTAGTCTGACCCAAGCCACATGATTCCGGGCCTCGCTCCGAACCTCCAGGCTGAGGTTCTAACAGTTCAGGTTGTACTTTTCCTTTTTTTATTCCTTGCTTTTCAATCTCTGATTTGTCATGTACAACCCGCTAAAGCGGGAGGAAATAGAATATCTTCCACTTGTTTTTTTTCTAGACATTTTTTCACTTTTTATAATAGTGTAAAAGATTCTTTAATTATGCATTTTTTTCTTTCAATTAATCTAAAAAAAGAAATCTTTTACAAGCATTTAAATCGTCTAATACAATAGTTGCACAAAATAAATTCACAATCGAGTCATTAATTTTGGAATACAATACGATATTTTCTTTCAACGCGTCTTTGTTATACAATAGTAGAAATAATTGGACAACTCGAATTCGTTTATATGGGACAACCAAGAGGAAGAGAACTTGTAGAGGTGGCTTATAAAGAAACAAAAATTTAGTATTATTCAGTATCATTTAGTTTTCTATATCAAACACAGTGTGAAAGTATTTTTACTACGTGATATAAGATGGATTAATTACTTTATCATTATTCAGTATTATCTAATTTTATGTGTCAAATATGACGTAAAGGTATCAAGATTTTTTTCAAGACAATCTATCTCATGTTCGAAATAGCTTAAAAATTTGCTAAAAATAAGATTAAAGTTAATAATTAATTTTAAACATACATTTTATGGGATCTACAAATTTTCAATCACATACTGTTCTTACTTTTATCATAATTTGATAATTTTTTTTTTATTAAAAATGTTGTCAAACACCCCTTAAACTAGAGGTGGTACATTGAAATGGACCTATTGTTAAGAATGAAAAGAAGGAGGGGATGTGTAATTTTGGGCAAGCAAGGTGGGTGAACACTTTAATTAGTTTGGAAGTCCCAATCTTGAACAATGCCCACTATGGGGAAAGAATCCAATGAGGAGTATCTTTTGGCCAAAAAATTTAGATATTTGGTTGGGGTTAAAAAATTTACTTATAAGCAAGGCTAAGGGTAAATAAGTAAAAATAACTAAATTACTTATATTTCAATAGTAATGTGTATTGTACTATCAAAACACTTCTATCTCGTATAAGAAAAAAATACATATTCAAATAAGACCTGGGATTCGACATCGGACTTTATTGGGGAAAAAAATTGATTGCTTAAAAAGCAAAGCTAAAAATGCTATTCTTCATGAATTACTAGTTTGAGTTTTGATTGGTCATTACAGTTGTCTAAACTTTTTAATGCAGCCCTCAATTTGTTAAGCTATTGTACTATTTCATATTTAGGGCCTTGATAGGTAAATGTGAAAAGAAATTTCAATTTCATGTTAATTGAAAAATAAAAATCTACCTAGAAATGGCAACGGGACAGGTGCGAGGTGCGGGCCCCCCCCCTCTTTAATTTTCAATTAAAATACAAATTCAAAATTTTAAAATCTCAAGCAAATAATACTCAAACTAACTACATCAATATTCAAAGTAAGAATTCGAAACAAAAAATATTCAAAATAAACAATGTCTAAAACAATTTTTTTCGTTCTCGGGTTTGGTTCGGGGTTTTTTTGCCCCATTCGGGAGCTGGGAAAATTGCCAACCCGAAACCCACCAAATCCATATGAATTCGTTTTCCATGCAAACAAAGAAAATACAGTTTAAAGTGGTTGTACCTTGTAATTAGATTTCCATTTCCACGTTGCAATTAAACGGTCAAAGTGGAATTCATTTTTCTTGGACGTGACATTTTCCATAAAAAATGTGACAATCAAACATGGCTAGATAAAAAATCAACACGCGTTAACTTTTTATAAATACAATAACTTCATTTATTTTAGTTTTTAAAAGGATATACTTATGGCATAAAAGGAACTGCGTTAATTTTTTTACAAATAATTATTTGATTTACATACCATATATCAAATGCTTGACCAATAAATTTTCAATGGTATATGTAAATTAATCTATACAGAAAACATTCACGATATTAATAAAGTCACCAATGTCGCGACATAATTGGAAAATATTTTGTAAATATCAAATTATATTATATAGTAACAAGATAATTATGTCAGCTGTGTTTGCTTATAAGAGTGTGTTTGATGCAAATTAAAATGAAAAGAATGCATTTTTTATGATGTGATGGTGAATATGTGGTTGAAAAAAAGGAAAAGTTATTAATGTGATGAAAAATGTGTGGTTGAAAATGAGTGGAATAATGAGAATATAGCTCACACAGGGGCTAAACTATGCTGATGCTCTGTTTGGTACACATTATTTTTTTCATTCTCATTCTTCTCCTCATTTTCAACCACACATTCTTCAATAAAATAATATTTTCCATCACATCAATAACTTCTCCTTCATTTTTAACCACACATTTTCCATTAATCTACTATTCAATAATACATTCTTTCAAAAGAATGTGTCCCAAACATACTCTTATTATTTTTAAAATACATTTTTTTTTCAATTATACATTTTTCAATAAAATAATATTACACGTAAATTTAATTTAATTTTTATTTAACTTGACATTCTCCATTAATTTATTATCCAAAAATGTATTATTTACCAAATAATTAGGGGCCAATTACTAAATGGGGGGCAGGGCGAGGCGGTTAAAAAAAGGATTACACTCTTCGAAGATAAGATCATACTGTCGGATTATGACACGCATATTTGAGGACTTTCATTATCATGGCGATAAAGATTGGGGACTCAGCTGGATTTTACCCAAAAGTTTATGCTCTAATAGAGCCTTGTTTGCAAGTGCGAACTCCTAAACCTACTGGACATTTCTTTTTTGAAAAATCCCCCTTCCAACTTCGAATCAGGCTTCTCTTCCTCCCCGATTAAATAGCTTTAGTCATTAGCATTGAATCGATTGAATTGAATTGGATTGGATTGGATTGAATCGGATCGTGAATCATCATTGATGAGGAAAAGAGAAAGAGAGAATCCGTGTGGGGTTTGTGGGCATTACCACAAGTACGAGGAAGGCGAGGTTTGCGGCATCTGCGGCCACCGCATGCCATCCGGCTCCGACAATTCTGCCGCCTCTTCGATCCAAGTCAGCGCCTTTCCCTCCGAGATCCTGCCGGAATTCCTCTACTTAGGCAGCTACGATAACGCCTCCCGTGCTGAGCTTCTCAAGACCCAGGGTATCTCGCGTGTCCTCAATGTAATTTCACTCTTTCTCTACATCATTGTTGTTTACTTGGTTAATTTTGTTGAGTCGATCTAGGTCAGACTTCAATTTGGTTAATCTTAGTACTCTGTGTGTTAGATTCATATGGGAGAATAGAACTTTGACGGTTAGTTTAACTGGCAGCTACATGGGGATGTATGTTTTTCGAGGTGAAAGGCCAAGAAAAAGTTTTTAGGCTAAATTTAGGGGAAAATTCTGAGGAAAATGGAAAAATATATGTTTTACCTTCTTACCTATTCAAGGGAACATATGTAGAATTGGTGCTTAGTCATTTACCCTTTCGATATGAGTTGCTAATATTAGTAACTTAACCTTTCTATCTTGCATTTACCACCAAGGCAATTTGCTGCAACCTAGTTGATCATCGTATAATGAAACCTTTGTGTACTTATATTGGCAAAACTTGGCCCATCTGCAGACAGTTCCTGCTTGTCAAAATCTTTACAAGAACTCCTTTACCTACCACTGCCTTCAAGATGACCAAAAATTGGCATTTGATGATGCAATCAAGTTTCTTGGTGAGTGTTTTTTCCCCCTTGCATTCTAGAATCTGTCTGCAAATTTGTCTTCTTTATTTAGAAGATCGTGCTACGCTTCCCATTGCATTTTATATACATGGTACCTTCATTCATGACTATGCGAAGGGAGACTATGCAGTATTTATTTATACTCTTCTTTTTGTGCATCTTCCTTTCACACTCTTGGGTGAAGTTCTGTTGGCAAGCAGCATAAATCCTTAATAATGAATCTATTATTTTCTCCCACCTCCTTGCTAAGCTAATAAAATCTTGGTAAAAGAAAGATCTTTAGTTTCTAATCACTAATGATTTTTTGTCAAGTGAAATTATGTATCAATGTTGAGGACTATGGTTTCAAATTAACCAGAGACTAGAACGGGAAAAATGAAAGAATGATTATCAAAAATAATATCAAATAGTCCCTTTTTATATATAACTCAAAATAAATATTGAACTGAGAGCATATAAAAAATAAATTTGAAATATTATACTCGTATTTCAAAATAAGCTCCTATTTGACAATTATTATTTGAAAACTTTTTTATTTTACACACTCACTTTCAACCACACATTCACACAATAAAATATTATGCACGTAAACATAAAAATTGTCCCTACTTTTTAACCATATATTCTCTTGAAAATCACTATTCAAAACTTTGTTTTACCCAAATAATGGTTGTCAAACGGGGCTAAATATTTTCTAATATTGAAATATAATACTCTTGTTCAAGGTAAATACTTTCTTTTTCTGAAATCTTTTGAACTAATGTATGCTTATTCCCTTCTATAATAACCTTCACGAAAAACAGTACTATAATTCATTGGAAAAAAGGAAAATCTTTCCCAAAATTCCAACTTTTCTACCCTCATGTCTGTGTCCCCCATCAGGCCATCACCATCGAAATTGACTACCTGCCCCTTTTACCCCTGCACCTATCTCTGTCCCTTAAGTTGCTACCATCCCCATCCCCATCCCCATACTCTTTACTATTAAATTCTTAATTGACACTTGAAGTGGTAATTATTATACTTGTTTATGTTTTGTTTTTGTTTTTTAATCATACTTTATAATGACTATCATGTGGTATGTGAACAGTGAATGCAATCATTTTAATGTTAATGACAGTATGGCTGGGCATAATTAGTTGCTTCATGAATATTGCATATTTTGATTTGATTTATTTTGTTTGAGGCTTATTTTGGTGAGAACATTTATGCAGAACAATGTGAAATAGACAGGGCACGGGTTCTTGTGCACTGCATGTCAGGAAAAAACAGGTGAAAAGTTTTACCGCCAATTGAAGCTCTTGTGTCTTCTTTCTTTTGCCCTTTTTTTAATTAACTGATTGACATTGTTCTTTTCGAGGGGATTTCAAAGTGATGTGGAAAGGAGAATGTGTTGGGTTTGAAATTTTGGGTTGTTGTTTGCTTGTATACTTAACAAACTGTAATTAACATGCTGACATATGGTTTATCTACCATTAAAGTGAAGGATCATGGTAGTCTATGATTTGATGACCATCCAGTACAAATAAGCCTATTCAATTATGAGGCCTATTCTTGGATTTACTATATTTATTTTGAATTGCTGTTTTGTCCGATTGTAAGTGCATGGTTTAAAAAACTATTTGAGGCTTACCCTTCGAATTCCGTCTCACGTGTGGCTACCATAAAATTTCTCAAAATCTGCACCTTAAATGCCATTTGTGAGGCTTACACCTCAAGCCCGAGCCTCATTCCAACTAAGGTGTTTGTCCTTTTTCCTTGCATTTCATTGGCCTTAGCTTTGAGTTTTTTCTTTATAAATGTTTTATGGATTTTTTTATTTTCGTTTTTCTACTTGCATGGAAGGAAAATGAGAAGGACAATACACCATCGCAATTTGAGGATGACCACAAAGAATGAAAAGACATCTATAATGAGGATGATTACAATGATAATGATTCTCTAATAAATCATGTTAGTACTGATGATATAAGAATTTTTTTAGTTGTCTCCACTTTTAGTAATAGATTTTATTTTTTTACGTGATTTTGAGAATTTTATTAATTATTATTGATTTATTAATTAGTATTATTATGGTTTTTTTGTTTTAAAAAGGGTTTATGTTATATTATGAGCACAATTTTGTAATTTTACGTACTTTCGAATTCTTTAATTGTTGTATCTCGAAGCTTACGCCCCAATGCACCTTGAGGCTCATGCCTCACCTCACAGAGATGAAATGCATTAATACTAAATTAAGTCTTTTTAAACATTGTTTCCGTGAAGATCATAAAATACTCTAAAGTGTGTTTATGGCATTTTGAAAGGTCGCCAGCTATAGTTATGGCTTACTTGATGAAAAGCAAAGGTTGGAAACTTGCACAAAGTTACCAATGGGTGAAAGAGAGGAGACCTTCAGTTGAACTAACTCAAGGTTCATACCAACTTTGCCTTGTTAATTTATATCATTAAAAGGGTGCATGTGCTTGTTGATTATCCGTTGCTAAATTTTATGTCAAACAAGAATATTACTGATGGATAAATGAGAGTTGATATGATAAATGTCAATTAAGTCACTTTGTAACAAGAGCTATTAGAGTGCAAAGATTTTGGAAACAAAAAATGCACGTCATTGTTAAGAAACAGAGCAAATATCAGTGACACCCCCACCCCATGGTGGCTAAGCTATTAAAGCGACACCGACCCATTCCATTTTAAAAAATTACAGAATCCTCCCTGGAGGTGTGTTTTCTATAACATATTCCCCCAATAAGCCAGAAACAACTATGTATCTCCCCAACTATGTTTTCTTATAGTAACTGATGCATTTTAGCCATTAATGAACTCAACTAAGAATTTCTATTAGAGTTTCAATTATATGCATTTGCAATGTTAGTATGATGTTCGCGATTCTTTCAACCTCAATTGCAGTTCTGCCTTGAAAAATGATCTCCAATCCTGTTTGAATGTCTTGACAGCTAGGATGGAGAGTGCTTAGAACAAAGTTGCTAATCGTAATTACCTGTACTCGGTCATGGCTAAACTATTACAGTGACACCGACCCATTCCGTTTTAAAAAATTACAGAATCCTCCCCGGAGGTGTGTTTTCTATAACATATTCCCCCAATAAGCGAAAAAACTATGTATCTCCCCAACTATGTTTTCTTTTAGTAACTGGTGCATTTTAGCCATTAATGAACTCAACTAAGAATTTCTATTAGAGTTTCAATTATATGCATTTGCAATGTTAGTATGATGTTCGCGATTCTTTCAACCTCAATTGCAGTTCTGCCTTGAAAAATGATCTCCAATCCTGTTTGAATGTCTTGACAGCTAGGATGGAGAGTGCTTAGAACAAAGTTGCTAATCGTAATTACCTGTACTCGGTCATTCTGAAATGGTGCAGTTTCATATCTGACATTTCATTTCTCATTTATGATTTGTAGCGGTCTACCAGCAATTACAGGAATATGAACAAAAGATTTTCAGTTCAACAGAGAACAAAGTTTCCATGCCGAGCTTCTCGCCTCCAAGCCTGCCATCTTTCAGCTTTGGCTTCCCAAAGCCTAATGATCCACCTGTTCCCGTTTTCAATAACAGTCTTGCCACTTCATTCTTTTCCCACCAACCGTTGGACATTCCTCAGGAATTCAGCTTCGGAGCAGGGCAAGCACAGAAAAACACTTCTGACGATGTTACCACTTATGGCGCAAACACAAATATTTCTAATGTTAATGATGTTCCCATGGGTGGTCCCTGATAAAATTAGGTTTCATCATCATATACTTCTGTACAGTAACCTGTCCGAAGTCAAATATTTCTTGACTACCAGTTTTACATGAAGTTGGATGAAAGCGGGAAATTCCTTAGAGATTATGGCTGTAACTGTGACACAGGAGTTTGATAGGTGCGGTTGAACTAGTATGTATGTTGATCCCTGGATAATGATGCTCATTTCTAAGGTTATCACATTCAGATTAATTGATATGTTCTTTTTTGTTGATGAAGTGGTAGATTTGTGTTTTCTTCCCCCAATCATTCCATTTTGTTGTATTGAATTATATGCGATTTTGAAAATCTGAAGGCACGTCAACCTACTACGAAATGAAACCTGCTAACTTCCTTTGCATACGTTTTGATTATGTTATTTATTGGCTTATATTGTCCAAGGAAAAATGGAAAAGGCACATTTTATGGGGACAACCGAAGTGTTTTGAAGGGGTTATTTGCATATTGATGTGGCAAAAAGATCGCTCATTGAAGGTCAGCCAGTGTATTGTTTGGGCTCGTTTTGGGAAGAGCACAAGCCGGACGGGGGCTCATGCGGCGAGCCATGTAAGGCTCGGCTCGACTCGTTGAGCTCGCAAGCGGCTCGTGGGCTCATCGAAAAAGTTACCAAATATCGATTCGTAGCTTTAGAAAAAAAAAAAAAAAAAGAACTCGAGCTTGTAGGCTTGGTCCTTGAGCACGAGCCCGAAGGAGCTCGAGCTTGGCTCGTCTCTTTAATGAACCGAGCTTCTGGGTGCATGGATTGAGTCGGCTCAGCTGTGTCCATTATCATCACTATTTGCATATGATGCATTTTAATGTACAAGACAATGAATTAAGGAGCTCAATATTAGGTGATGATAAAAAACCTTAATAAGCAAAGAGAAAAATACATAACTACGATAGTTTTAAGATATACTTTCAAATTTAGGGATCTTGATAAATTCTTTCAAAAAACAAGTGATCACATATTGTAATATTTGATAAAATTTTGTGGGATTAATAGTAGAAAATCACACGGAAAAGTTTCTATTTGCAATATACCCCATACCTATTAAAAATAGCAAAAAATCCCCTTATTTGAAACATTTTGTGTGAAATGCTCCATACCATTAAGATCGATCAGATATGCCATTAAAAAAATAAATAAAGTCAAAAATTAAAAAATAATTGCAATTGCAATACCGAAACTTTTAATTTTTTGCAAATTATATCTAAATTTTTTAGAGATAATTTCAGCAAAAACACAAAAAAAAACCCTAACGGCTAAATCAAAGCACCTATCTTTTCCAATGTAAATTGAATAAAGCTTCTTGTACATTCCATAGATGACAATGTGGATGACATTGTGTCAAATTCAAAAAGGAATGGGGTGGGAAAGTGTGTTTTGTTTTAAAACTGGCCACTTGTGTTACGACACGTGACACAATGTCAAAATTGATGTAAAAAAAAGTGTACATATAGTATGATAGATGTAAATTTGATTCACTGCCCCATATGTTTTCTCGCTTTTCCCATACACTATAAATATAGTACGCAAATGGACTTAAGGCTTCATGGTCTCCTCCTTTCCACTACACAAAGGGCCCCAAAGGTCAGCGTTTCTAGTTCATTTTCACGTATTAGAGCTCCCCTTACTATGCATGATTCCAACTTTGAATATTTTGTTTCAGTCAAAAGTCACAAAAATAGTTCTGTTACTAGTTATAGTAGTGGGAGTGAGGCGGAGTATGAAGGATTTGTGAGTGGTGAAGATGAATTTGAAAGTGCATCTAAGAGGCATCTCGAGAGTAACCTAGACGAGGAAGTTCTGGAAGAAACTCATTTTGTTGAGTGAGTTTTCAAGACCCATTGTGGAGAGCTCAGGTGAAGAAATTATTCAACGAAGTAGCAATGTTAGTGATTATACTTTTTCTAGACCTTCTGTGAAGAACCCGGATGGTGAAATTGTTCAAAGAAGTGACGATTTGAATGAATTTGCATTTAGTAGGCCTTTTGTGAAATAGATGATGAACCAATTGTTTCAGATAGTCCTAATAGCACGTGTCCTCAGCTACAGTTTGGAGCGATAGGTAAAACATGAAGGGGACAATGGCGTAATTGAGTTTCTAGAAGAGGTTGACAATTTACTTTTGCATGATGAGAATAAACGAGTTGTAGTCACAGAACATAGGTTACCTTCTACTTCATTTGCTGGTGGACAGAGTTCCAGAGATCATTCACAGGAGATCGATCGACATGATATGACGGACTCAGATGAAGAGGTAAACTCTGATAGAGAAATTGATGGGTTTTCGGTAAAGCGGTGGTGATGGTTTGAGGGTAGTGGTTGTGCCGGATAGTGTGTGGTGGTGTATGTGATTATAGGGGCGCACGCAAACTTTCAAAACTAGGGGGCACAATCTAACTTTCATAAAGTAACGAACAAATGAAAGTAAAAAATATCTGATTACAATTGTTCTTTACGTGTTCTCATATTTTGATAACGTTCAATAATTATATCATTTTCAATCTTGTCAAATACATCTTTCTTAATATACGCAATCAAACTATCGTTCAACCATTGATCTCCAATTCGATTGCGGAGACGATTTTTGAACAAGTAATCGCAGAAAATGATCTCTCGACTATAGCAGTAGCTACGAGAAGAACTAAGCTTAATGTCAGAAGCTTGCAGACTAATAGATACACGTCATATTTATTCTTCGTAACCAACTTTTGTGCAAGATCACTAATGCCTTGTAATTCTTTAAAATCTAGCGAATAATACTACTGTGCATCTCAAGAATATATGTATCTAATTGATCATTAAATTCTGAGATATCTACTGCATCAAAATCTAGCGAATAATACTAACATAGTCGAATCACTTTGTTTTTGTCAAAAGCATCAAATGAGTTATTTGGAGACAAACACGCAACACAAATGAGCAAGTCACTATTTACTAAAAAAACGATCATTCAGCTCCTGAAGTTGCATATCAATGATAGCATAAAACATTTCCACACGATAATGATGCAAATTTGTTACTGTTTCACACCGTGAACGACCTAGAGTTATGAACATATCATTTATATTGGGAACATTGATCCCGTGAGCTTCACAAAACGAGCAAACAATTTTAAAAAAAGAATCTCATTCATCATCCCTCAATGTTGGAGCCGTACTTTACATAATTGCACAAATTTCATGGTATTGACAATATCTTGATCTTTTCGTTGTAATGCTTTTGACAATTCATTTGAATTCTCAAAATCATTTTCATAAGATGTAGATGAAATGCAAATTCAAATTTTAACATCAACTCAAATAAAATACAAGCATCACCTCTTGTTTCGATACTTATAGTGTCCGTAGCAATCATCTCAACAACGTCGACTATGGTTGAAAACATGACAATCAAGTTAATTAAACAACTGTAGTGAGAGCCCCAACGTATATCACCAGGACGCTGAAGAGTAGTTTCTTGATTGAGATCTCGTCCACTTGATAATTCACTGACACTGAGTGATTTAAGAACTTTCAATCTTCGATTCTCTCGAATAAGATCACTCTGTTTAGCCGATCTACCAACACAATTCACCAATTTGTATACTGTAGTGAAGAAAGTTTCAATTTTCGGATGTTTCTGTGCCACAGCTACAAGAGCTAATTGCAATTGATGAGCAAAACGATGAATATAATATGCACTCGGGTTTTCTTTCAAAATAAGTGCTTTGAGCCCATTATACTCACCTCGCATGTTACTAGCTCCATCATATCCTTGACCTCTCAAATTAGATATACTTAAGCTATGCGTTGAGAATAATTGATCAATTGTAACCTTAAGTGAGATAGCCGTAGTACTAGAAACATGATGGACACCAACAAAATGTTCCAACACATGACCATTTTTTACATAGCGAATGACAACCGACATTTGCTCCTTAACTGAAATGTCTCTACATTCATCAACTAAGATTGAAAAGAAACTGTTATGAATATCTTTCATAATCACATCTAGACATTCAGAAGCAATAGCACTCACAATATCTTTTTGTACCCGTGGTGATGTTAATTTGAGATTTTCAGGAGCATTTGTCAAAGCAATGGCCTTACTCTTAGCATTATGATCACACAACCAATACAATAGTTCAAGAAAGATTCCTTGATTGTTTTTGAATGTTCAGATTCATCATGTCTACGAAAAGCCATACTTTTTCATAGAAGAAATCGAACGCAATCAATTGACGCACTCAATCAAATTCTATAATCTGTTCGAGCTTGATGCGATTGCTTAACGAGGCATGTTCGAATACTTTGCTCTTGATTCTTGAACGATTCATATTTGACTCGAGCTTGATTGTGTGCACTACTTGAAGCCCCAACATGTACTCTAAGGTATTCTTTCTTTTTTCCAATTTGAGAATCCATCGTTAAGAAAGGAACCACCACTCAAACTGAAAAGATAGCAACAAAAACAAAAAACTGCATCTTTCGCTACACTATATTCCAACCATGTACGATACTCATCACACCAGGAAACACAAAATCACCTCTCTTTGTTACCCATTTTTGTAGATGGAAATGCATGATTACGAGGTTGACAAGGACCCCTTTGTATATAGGCTCTTCGAATCATGTCTCGAACATTAACCTCATAATTTTGAATTGGAACTCTCAATCCAGGATCAGCGATAAGATTAGCAACATCAATATCCCCAACTCGCCTGACATTCCCAACTTCTCCATCATCAACATTATTTTCATTACTTTTACCTCGAATATTCCTTTCAACATCAACATTCATAGATTTCCGTTTAAAATATTTGTCCATAACTGATACAAATAAAGAAATCAATCACAGTTGCCTATCAACAGACAATAGCTTCACAGTCCACAGAAATTCCTATTAAAGCTTCACAATCAGTCAATCACAATTGCCTACTCAATTTCATCAAAATCCCTAAATCCCTAAAAGCCCTAATTATCAATTTTCAAAATCCCTAAATCACAAATTCACAGACTCACGGTCACACATTCACACACAGAACAATCCTTAAATAATTTAAATCCATAATCATTACTTTCGTTACAAAGAGAAAAATGGGAACTTACCTCAGAGGGGGTTGGTCGATTGGAGATTGGAAACGGAAAAGGGAGTTTTCGTTGGAGACTTGGAGCTTCGAACAGCAGACAACAAGACTGCAGCCTACAGGGGCAAAAACACCAGATTTAATTTCAGAATTAGGAGGGAGAAGAAGAATCAGGGCTGGGCTGCTGGAGGAAGCGAGGCAACGACATTGCAGGTGGAGGAAGATAAGACAATGTGCTGTAGGCTACTGGAGGGAGAAGATGCGGGGCTGGGGGATGAGAATGGAGAGGATTCGAGCCTATCGAGGAGAGTTGGGAGATGCAGCCGCTGGAGGGTGAGAATGAAGAAAGGCTGGGGGTTGCTGGAAAAGAGGCGGGGCTGCTGGAGTGGAGAATGAAGGGTAGGTTTAGATTTTTTTTTCTTTTTATATTTAATTTATAAAAAAAATCTACAGGGGCACATGCCTCTATAGGCCCCTGTGTGGGTCCGCCCATGTGTGATTTTGACTTTGGGGTTAGGGGTGCGTTGGGATACGGTAAGGAGTCTGGTGAGAAAGAAGATTATTTTTATTTATTTTATTTATTTATTTTTAATGTAATTATTTAATTTGATTGAAAGGTTCGAGACTTTTGCTGCAATTATTCCTAAAAAATTAGGTATAATTTGCAAAAAAAATAAAAGTTATGTACTGTAACTGTAACTGCAATTATTATTTGTATTTTTTTTTGATATTTTTGACCTTTTTAGTGACAAATCTGACAGATCTTAACTATAAGATATATTTCGTACAAAATGTTTCAAATAGGAAGGTTTTTTGCGATTTTCAATAAGGAGGGGATATATCGTTCTGTTATTAATCCAAATTTTGTAACTTATATTTAATCAAATATGTAACGATAACAATAAACACATAATTTATGATCATGGTCACACAATGTCACAATGAAAAAGACAATTTTGTATATCACAATCCTATATTTCAGTCAAAATTACCCAGATAACTAGTCATAGTTACTCTCATCCCGCCCCATCCCATTCTCATCCCACCCTACTCCACCACCATTGACACCACCCAAATCGTCGTCACTATTTTACAACCTATCGTTGCCACCACCACCACCTCTACCTCCAACACACACGTACCACCACTTCAATCAACAACCACACCATTTCCATTTCCAACGCGCCACTACTACCATTTGCAACCCTACAATTTTCGCCGTAGGAGCTACTATACCAGTTCATAAAACCTTCTTCACACACACACGCATAGAAAATTGCAGAGGTTCCCCCAACAAACTCCCCAAGTCTGCCATCACCACTTGCCACCACTAAAGCTGAGTATACCAGTTCACTAGCTACACTAATATGTTATATAAGGAATGTCCGGGGAAAAAGCAGGGAGAGAACAACTAGGAAAATGAAGAAGAAATCAGAGGAAGAAGAAGAAAGAAGCTCCAACGGTTTTATCTGACTATTAACTCAAAACTGTATCATATGGATGAAGTGAAAGGGTGACGTTTTGGCCTTAAATTGAAATAGTTAGAAACATTTCTTTATTGTTAATTTTGTTAAACACTACTTTGATTTTGTCAGTGTTTATATACCTCTATGTGCGAAGATAAATGGGTCTGTGATTTTGTTTGTGTGATCTGATATTTTCAACCATTAATTGAAGTGATTCAATTCAGTCCTCTCCTCCTCATTCTTATTTCACGTCATTTAATCCCTTACCCTCACCTCCTTCCCCTTCCCCTCCCTCTCCCTTTTTTCTTTTATCTTTTGTTTGTTAAAGTATTTGAGCATATTTCAATTGGAATCGAAATATTGATTGTGTCACAGTTTTGGCAAAGCAGAAGTAAGTTTCGACTGTGGCAATTGGTATCAGAACAGGCGTTTTGCACTGGGAATTCTTGCGATGGATACACGAGCAAAGACGGTAGATGAATACCTGAAGAAACTAGACCTAGAAGTTGTTGATCTAGGTATTGCTTTCAAAGCTGTTACTAGTAGGTTAGAAAGTAAACTTGAATCTGCAGACCAAAACTTCCAGGTTTTTGCTTATAGGCAAGAAAAAATTAAAGATGTTGTTGTGGACATGAACCACAAGTACGAGAAACTAGTAACCCTGATGGCTCAATTAACATCTGATCTTAAATCTAGACAGATGGACTAAGGGATAGAAGAACTTGTAATTAACTTGAAATCTGGGAGTGGAATGTTTACATCGGGAAGCAA